CAGTCCGATGGTCAGGGCGGCCAGGATGAGCTCTTCAAGGAGACCAACAAGGTATTCGACCTCGGCAAGGGCGTCATCGAGATGGAGGTCAACAAGGCTCGTGTGCAAGCAGCATGTCCACAGCCGGTTTAGCACCGCATGTGCCATTAGCAGGTGAACCAGGAGCTCGGGGAGATTGGTGGTGTTTTCGTTTCGAAGCAGCCGTCTGACACCGACATGGGTGCGAAAGCACCGAGGACACAACTGGGTTTCAGTCATCCTCACATGATTGTCTGTGCTTATTTGTGGTTTCCATTGCCGCGAGCAAACAGGACTGTGCTGCTGAAGGGCATTTTTTATGGCAAGGTGGTGAATGCCTGAGTGTTGCAGTAGGGGCTCATGCCCACCCTGGTCTCAAGCGTCAGCAACTGTAGATACATTTGGCACGAGCTTGTACAGAATGTTGTCCGCAGCATTCAGTCCAGAGTTGATAGCTGCAGCTGACATTGACAGACCAGTCTTTCTTCGCACTTGCTCGTGGCAGGTGTGATTTTTTGCTTGTGTGCGTCATGTCGCTTGCAGCTCGTATCTTCGGTTGCGCAATCATCCCGGACCATGTCTTTGCTTCGAGTTGTGGCAATTTTTTGGAAGAATCCTTTTTAACTTGCTGCTTCGATGGCGCGCAATTCCTTTGCCGTGACCGCGGTCGCCGTCCTGGCCGTGGTCGGCGTGGGCAGCTGCTTCCTGACCGGTCTTCCCCAGGGCTCCCAGCCGCCCCGCGCCGCGCCCAATGCGGTCGAGCATGAGATGCCGCAGCCGAGCATGGCCGGCAACTCCTGGGCTGCACCTTTGCTGAGCTTCGGCGCCGCCTTGGGTCTGATCTTCGGCGTCGTGGCCGCCAAGCCCGCCCGCGCCATCACGGCGGAGCAGTTCAGCCAGCTCACCTACGCACAGGTGAAGGGGTCCGGCTTGGCCAACCGCTGCCCCACCGTCGAGTCCAACGGCACGGAGGTCCCCGTGAAGGGCGGCTCTCGGCTCGTGAACGTGTGCTTCGAACCGAAGTCCTTCGCAGTGGAGTTCGA